AAATCGGTGTCGATAAATTCGTTGATTAGGGTAATCAATTTGAATTAGATGAACGTTAAAGATTGAAAATGTGATTGAATGCAAATCACTTTGGCTAATCGGTGGTCGATAAAACCGGGTTATATAATCTACATATCTATTTTGAATAAAAATTTCAATCACAACGCGATAATAGAAAGCCTCTGTTCTCAATCCATTGTTGAATGAAAGAACAGAATAGGGTAAACCCAATGTAGACGAACGAAACTAGTCACTGACACTCGGGATACAGACTTTATGATACAGCGCGCGCACGCTAACCATTCAGCCATCCAACCCCCCAGGTAGGTTAGAAAGTGAAGCACTAATGAATATAACTTATGTTACTACATGTATTTTGTATTGCTTCTATCTATCAAGGGACATAACTAGTTTTAGGGGCCGATCTATAAATGAGGGGAATAGTTGATAAAAACTATGTCATAGTGATAAATATATTATGTAAGAATGAATTATTATAAATGTAAAGATACGCAGATATCGTTGCCAGAATCTAAAGAGCGCGAGAGAGAGAGAGAGAAATGGGGTTTAACGTCCACTCGACACAAACTAGGTCATTTCGGGACTAACACATGGTTTAATTTTATTTCAATAATTCGCTTGCGCGTAGGGGTCTTTAGCAGTGGGAGGAACCGGAGAAAGCCCACGAGGTTCGACAGACGACCCTACTCCTTGTCACGTACAACTGGGGAATTGAAACCCCTATAACCCAAATTTCAGACTCGGGGCAGACCTAGTGTAGCCGCCAAACCCGAACAGACCGGCTTCGCTCGGGGGTCATAACTCCGAAACCGGAAGTGGTAGACTAACGCCACCTGGCCTATGTTACTCCCCGGTCCGAGTTACCCCTATACCCCAAATTTCAGACTTGGGGCAGACCTAGTGTAGCCGCCAACCCCGAACAGACAGACAGAAAGACAGACAAACGACAGTCACAAATATATATAGAGATTATCATCATAGGTTCTTTTGTCAAGCTGACACGGTTACGTTTCGTTTCCTAGAAAGTGAAAGTAGATACATTTTAAGTTTCCTAGAAAGTGAAAGTAGATACATTTTAAGTTTCCTAGAAAGTGGATACATTTTAAGTTTCCTAGAAAGTGAAAGTAGATACATTTTAAGTTTCCTAGAAAGTAGATACATTTTAAGTTTCCTAGAAAGTAGATACATTTTAAGTTTCCTAGAAAGTGAAAGTAGATACATTTTAAGTTTCCTAGAAAGTTGATACATTTTAAGTTTCCTAGAAAGTGAAAGTAGATACATTTTAAGTTTCCTAGAAAGTAGATACATTTTAAGTTTCCTAGAAAGTGAAAGTAGATACATTTTAAGTTTCCTAGAAAGTAGATACATTTTAAGTTTCCTAGAAAGTGGATACATTTTTTGGGAAAAGGCCGTGTGTTACGGAGTGAATGAGATTCGTGGAAGAGACTATGGGACGACAACAAATTTACAATTAATAATAAATTTATCATTGAAATTATGGACGGAGAGGCATGTATGACGACATAATTTATCGTCCACCAAGCAAACATAGATCAAATAATGGTGTTGTGTTTTGGTGAAGCCCGGTCGAAATACAAAATATTTACACTTTTTCATCTACATTATCCAATTTTGTCATACCAAATTTCATGGAGGATATATTGAATGAAATAATCCCGATACCGAATAAATTCATCATCGAAACAGATTTTGATTATAAAAAACAATCTACACTATTTCTGGTCTCATCAACATTATCCAAATTCGTCACGCCGAATTTCATGGAGGATATAATGAATGACATTTAACCCGATACCGAATAGATTCATCAACGAAACAGATTTGGATTATAAAAACAAACTTATTCCAAAATATCTACACTATTTCTGGTCTCATAGTATTTTAGGGTAACAAATATTATGTTTCTCCTCCTTGACCATTAACGGTTATAAAACTATATTAAATACTTGTTTTACTTACATACGATTTATTTCGTGCGTTCCTCTTCTGTCTGTAATAATCAAATAAAATTGGCACCGGCGCGCAATCGTTTTATGTAGTGTCGGATGATCAGATCATGTGATACGTTTCAAACACAAATGCTTGTCCAATGAAAAAAGTTATTCAATCATAGGTGACTCACTTAATGAATGGTATGGGTATATACATGCGCCTGTTTATTAAAAATCGGGTTTTCCCTATTCCATATGGGTGAAATTTGATTGTCTTAACTGTGCCATCATTCATTCAAATTTTATTGTCCCCCGCCTTTCGAAGAAAGCACGGGACTATTAAAATGGGTTCGTCCGTCTGTCTGTCCGTCCGTCTGTCCGTCACACTTTTTGGGACACAATAACCCTCCTTCTAATTGAGCTAGAATGTTCAAACTTGGTGTAGGTGTTTATTAGGTCAATGCCTTGACTAAGTTCGACAATGAGCATTTCCTGCTTAGGGTAAGCAGAGTGATAAGTAATTTGATTGGTCGAGACTTTGGAACACAATAACTCTTGGCGTAGGTGTCAATTAGGTGAATGCCTTGATGGAGTTTGAAGATGGGAATTTTCTGCTTAGGGTAAGCAGAGATAAGCAGTTTGATGCTTTGGGACACGATAACTTTGGCTCTAATTAAGTGAAAGTGAGGACACTTGGTGTATAGATTTATTATATGAATACCTTAACTAAGTTCGATAATGAACATTTTTTGCTGAGGGTAAGCAGAGTGATAAGCAATTTGATTGGTCGAAACTTTGGAACACAATAACTCTCCTTCTAATTGAGGTAGAATGTTCAAACTTGGCATAGGTGTCTATTAGGTGGATGTTCATTGGGTGAATGTCTTGACTGAGTTCAATAATTAACATTTCGAGCTGAAGCTAAGCAGAGCTAATCGATTTCATTTGTCGATGGTTTGGGACAAGATAATCTTGATTCTATCTGATAGAGAGTGATGAAACTTAGTGAAAAAAATAAATGTGCGATTAATTAATATCTGTCATCTATTTATTTTGCAATTTCGGCGGGGGGCATCAGCCTCACTGTTGGCTTGTTGAAACCAACTTTTTTCCAGGAATGAATACAAGGTTCCCACGCTAATCTTAATGTTTTTCAAATGTTTGTGTTAATTTTTTTTTTTAATGTTTAAACACTTAATTTCGTACCAATACAATAAATATTTGTTTATTTTTAGATTACTCAACGCCCTTAATCTTTGCTGTACAGCCTGTTTTGTTTTTAATGTTTAAACAATAATTTTATTGGAAGCACCGATATAATAAATATATGTTTATTTTTCATTGACCATTTACATGTGAGCTGTTACATTGCTTTGCCCAGAAAACCTCTGACAAGCAGAACATTTATTAGGTTTCGATAGAAAAATCACAGTAAATTTGGAAAATATCTCGATATCTCTGACCTCTACGTAAAGGTTGCATCATGTCTAAGACCTCTACGTAAAGGTTGCATCATGTCTGTGAGCTGTTACGTAGGTCGGGGCCCCAGTGCATTGCTTTGCCCAGAAAACTTCTGATTGCAGAACATTTATTAGGTTTCGATGGAAAAATCAGTGTAAATTTGGAAAATATCTCGATATCTCTGACCACTGCGTAAAGATTGCATCATGTCTAAAATTAGAATGGTGTTTTCCTGGTTTATTTTAAGCTTTTGGGTTTGCCCTATTCTATTTTTTTGTACGAATGTCTATTTCGTATTTGATGGATATTCAACTACCAAATGACTGCAAATATTAAACCTAAGTAAAATACAGTTCAAGTTTATCCACAGATCTGAGTCCAGCAAACAAGAGTTTAAAGGGACCATCCCGATTTTAACAGTCTCGTAAATGAAAGTGAAATTTAACCGCCACAATATAGAGGAATGGTGTATTTTTAAGCGCCACAATATAGAGGAATGGTGTATTTTTAAGCGCCACAATATAGAGGAATGGTGTATTTTTAAGCGCCACAATATAGAGGAATGGTGTATTTACCTTGTCTCAAATTTCAGCTCAAAATATTGAGTCGTTTGGACGTGAACGTTGAAATAGCTTATCCGGACACGTAACTTTTTTTAAGATTTCGGGTCAATTTCTTCGTTGGGTGACCTGATTTAGAGGTGTATACAGTGAATGACCCACGTGCTGTACTTGATAACGAAAGGTAAATTTCACATACACATTATTTTTTATGAAATAAAAGTCTGGTTTTATCCAGACAACATATAATACAGCAGCTTGGGGCTCCGGTCTCCAGATAAAGACTGACGGGTTTAAGTTGTTTAAAAACGTATCACGTATATTGAGTTAGTTGCTTGTAACACAAACTTAAGCAGTTTTTTTCTCCAAAAAATAATCGAGATTGGCCTTTTAACATGAACTACTAGCCCAAGTACGAGTGGCAAAACAAAACTGCCTCATAAGTAATAGGTTAAATCATTTAGCCCGCAGACCAGTTCTGGTCTTAATTTCATTTTTCAGTTATCTTAATTGTGGGAGAAAAACGGAGAACCAGTAGGCGCCCCTATCACCAAGCCTAATACGCTCACATCAGGGATCAACTAGGTAACCCCAACACTCCCTGAAGTGAACACAGTAGCCTTCGTGATGTGTCTTTACTTTACCCCAGTTTGACCTTGGCGACCTTTTCTGACCTCACTAACCTATTTCCCAACTGGTTAGCCCTTATATTGGCCCACTGATCACTACTTGACCCGGATGATTTCATTTATGTAGCATTTCCTTACTTTACCCCAATCTGGCCTTGGTGGCCTTTTTGACCTCGTAGACTTATTTTTGCAACGTCCCCAAAGTTGACCTAGTGGACCCCATTTCCGAGTTTTGGGTAAAACATTGAGTCTTATTTTTGATTTTGCAACGTCCCCTAACTTGACCTAGTGGATCCCATTTCCGAGTTTTTGGTAAAACATTGAGTCAAAATCTAAAACTCCATAGAATTGGGTCATAATACTAGATTAATCATTGGTAAATATATATCGTATTTATTAATAGACCAATAATTGTTCAGCTTTAGCTTTTTATTTTGAGTTTAAACTCATTAATCATTACAAAAGTAATATTTTATTATCATCATTTACGTTTTCCTTGTATCTGCTTTCCAGCAGGAATCGTCACGCTTCTGGTTTCTCGGGTTGTTTGACTTATTGTGACACCCTTTGGACTGACAGTCACCCGTTCCGTAACACTGGCGGCTTGCCTTGCATTACTTTGCTGCACGGCTCCTCTTGTGGTTTGCGATACCCTAATTTGGTTGGGTGTACCGGTTCCTTTCGCAACCTGCTTCGACATGTTTCTGAATTGAAAAAAAAGAAAATACTGGATTAGTTTCGGTAATACACACTATAACTTTGTAAATGAAATCTGATCAAAATACAGATCTATATTTCGTTTCGTTTTTATTATACTTTCGATGGCCTACACTACGTGAAAATCTGGCAAGTTGTAACGATAGGTCGAGCCAGAGTTCATACGAGCATTACCCACAGTTCCATGCAAAACACGCCTAAAGCTCACTGTAACATATTGTTTCATTGGCTCACACCATCCAGAACACGTCATTGATAACAACTCTTCCAGATCCTAGTGTAGTAAAGACAAGTAAAACGAAATTTGGAACTATAAAAAACGAAACGAAATAGGATCTGTGTTTTAATCAGATTAACGCACTGTCCGTACCCTTTCCGTAAAACCACTTCACATAGCCAGATATGTCTGTTGTACTTCTGTATCACTTGATATTTAATCAATGGGAAGAAATTATTGTGGAGCCTCAGTGGGTAAGACACTGGAATTCCTCGGGATTTTCCGGTGCGCCCCCCCCCCCCCGTCAGCGTCAGTTGTGCAGGGTGGGGGCTGGCATTTTGATATTTCCTAGTCGTTCGGATGGGAGGAAAAATCGATGCCCAGTGTACACACTGGAATACACGTAAAAGAACCCTTGAGAGTTGGAATTCGAAATAAAAGTAGGTCATAGTGTAGCTGTCCGGGCAAAATTTCCCTTATAACATACTGTATGGCGTAAGCCCGTCTTCATTATCTCAGTCGGAGCACAAAAGTAGGAGGTTATTTTTTCAGAAATTAGTATGCTAAAGAAATGTCATTCGACTGCTGTACTTTTCGATCAGTCTGAATCAAACAGTTTTATTTACCTTATAAACTAAGTTATTCTTAGATTTAAATATCTGTTTGGTTTTCGTATTAACTCTGAAAAAAATCCAAACGAAATACAGATATTTATAATGTATCTTTATAATGTTCATGTTTTTAATAGACCCACTGTATGTCTATATAACAGTGAATGTCGGGGCGATTCTCGGGCTAGACTAAAAAGAATGAGGTTTATCACCAAATAATACATTCTACAGTAGATATCGCTTGTGGGATAAATTTCATACTCTATTGCGACATCTCCTTTATCGCTTTACATGAATTTGATTGGTCAGTTGAAAAGGAACTCCTTTTTTTTATTTTCAAAGAACAATTCATTTTTTGTTAAAAGTAACTTCTTTTTTTTTATTAAAAATAAACTATCGTTATTTAATTGACCTTGATGGAAACACTGGGTCAATATAAAGGACTTTCCAATGGTTGAATTGCTGTCAAAAAATGATGTATCACTACGCCGTAATTTAATCAGATTCAGTAGAAGTGAAATCTATAGCAAAGAATTATATTTATTTATTTGTGCATGTAAGAAAGGATTGGGTGATAAATAAAATCTCCTACTCGTCCTTTTTAATATCAAAAAATATCAACACTCGTCGATAAAGTAAAAAAAACTCGGCAGAGCCCCTTTTTTTGGGTTTGTTTTTTTTTTTACTTTATCGACTTGATATCAAAAAAGACGAGTAAATGATTCTCTATTTGACGTCCACTAAGTCATTTCACAACTAAAATATGGTTCAATTTTTATTTCAAAAATTTGCTTGCGCGGAGGTGTTCTTTACTAGGACAAGTAAACCAGGAGAAACCCCACGAGGTTGGAACAGGCGACGCCACTCCTTGTCACGTACCAGTTGTACGTACTTGACTCAATGGCAGACGTTATGATCTAGCCCGCACGTGTTTAACCATTAGTCAAAATATCACGAAGTCGGCATTGGACAGCAACAGAATCAACTCAGTGCGTTTTCATTTTATGTTAAAAGAGGTTTGCACGTCTCACTGCTTATATTCGCGATATCTATCAATGAATTTCCATGGCCGATCAAAACCACTGCATGAATAAATTAACCGATAAGCTTTGCAGTTATTGGGCTGGGTATCCTATAATTGTCATAATAATATAACATTCTCGTATTTAAATACGGTACATATGTATTAATGTATTATGTTACAAATTTTTATCATAAACAATATTTTCCCTCCTTCATGGCATGAAGCCATAATAAACCCCATCCCTAAACCGGGTAAAGATCCTACGAATCCTACCAATTATCGCCCGATCGCTTTAACTAGCTGCATTTGCAAAACCATGGAGAGATTGGTCAATCGAATGCTTGTTTGGTACCTTGAGTCCAACAACCTCATTACAGATCTCCAATGTGGATTTCGGTCCCAAAGGAGCACTCTTGATCATCTCGTTAGATTTTGAAAGCTTATGATACCACATGGAAATATGGTATCATGCGCGACCTGCATAACGTCGGTCTGCGGGTCGCTTACCTATCTTCTTAGAAGAAAGGTCGTTTAAGGTACGTTTGGGATCAATTTTCTCTGACCCATTTCCCCAGGAAAAGGGAGTTCCTCAGAGAAGTATATTATCTCCCACTCTTTTTTTCTATCAAAATAAATACCATACCAACGTGCCTTAAACGTGGGGTCGACGGCTCTCTATGTTACGGATCGACAAGTATGCAGACAATCGAACGTCAATTGCAGCTTTGCTTGAATTCTATTCAACGATGGGCAACTGACAATGGATTTCGATTTTCGAAATCCAAGACTGTGTGCATGCACTTCTGCCAAAGAAGAGGTTTACATCCTGATCCGGAACTTACACTGGATGATAGTCCCATTCCAGTTGTAGATGAAACGAAATTCTTGGGTTTGATATTTGATAAGAAATTATCATTTATCCCTCATATTAAAACCCTGAAGAAGAAATGTCTGAAAGCCTTCAACATATTGAGAGTCTTATCAAACACTGACTGGGGAGCAGACCGTAAGGTCTTGCTCAGATTATATCGAACATTAATAAGATCTAAACTCGATTATGGGTGCACTGAAAAAACCCTTGTGTTGGATCTCAACACAAGAACTTGTGTTAAAAATATTTAACACATGTTTGTGTTGTATTGCATTGCAATGACACAAGTTTGTGTTCTTTTCAATGTCTTAACACAAACTTGTGTACATTTATAAAATCTTATGTGGTTTTTTTTCCATATAATTAATTACGTCGACATTAAAGGTAACATTTATTATGTTCCTTTATCACATTATGTTTTTTATTTATTGAGAAAATCTGAATGGGATTGGGGAACTGGATTAGGGATCTGGCCTAGCCTATATGTAAAACCACTCTTCCTGAATTTGAATGTCGAGTAATTCACTCGATTTATTTTTTAATATTTCTAATTATCTAAAAGGATATATTAATTATTACAAACATTAAGTAGAAATCGCAATGTATGTATCGTGCGATGCATTTAATAGCTCTTTTAAAACAACGTATTTTATAACAGTATACTGATATAAGAGATCAAAGTTTTAGTCAATTATTATCTAAATATAAACTATTTATTTAATTAGATATAATAAAAGATTATTCTGATTCTACTCTTTGTTTATTTTCACATCTTGTCTAAGACAATATACAGAGACAGGTTATTACAATGTCTGCATTTGGAAGTGTCTGATTGATATCGCCCCAATAAATTTGACACATCAAAGACAATAACAATTGTGTTATATCTACGTTTTAAAAAAATGTTTGAATGGGCGTGGAAATAGTCGAGTTAATCTTTTTATTTAATTTAATTGGTTCATTAATCGAAATTGGAAATTTATTCTTACCTGTAAATGACCAATTAAAATGAATTACTCTTAAAACAAAGAAAGAAATATTTATTGAAGTAATTTTGCGGTATTAAACCCTGTGGTACTGCAAATGTTAACTGTATTATTAAGCATTAGTATCGAAAAAAGTGATATTGTTGTGAAAAAAGTTTGTTCAGAAAATAAGAATATCGGGTTTGTGATTTTGGTATTTTTTAATACAATGTATTTATAACGCAAATTTTTCGTTTCGGTTAAAACAAAATATACGTCCATTTTAATTGGCCGAAGGATGTGTGACTAATAGAAATATGGCGGGCGGACAAACTGACCAAACAGTATATTTCGAGGTATTTGAGGTAAGCTAATTTAATATTATATCATAACTGCATGTGCATAATTGTGTTTCTGTTTGATTAAATATTCAAAAAATCATTCTTAGGATACAACCTCGACACCAGTCCGCCCTGAATTGCAATGTTTGTTTTGTGTTCTGGGCGCCATTTTGAATATAATACAATCCAGCGATAGTGTAGTCTAATTCCTTTAAAAGGGAATCCGAATTTGTTAATTTTCTGCAATATCACTTCGGTGGAAGCGGACGTTAAATAAAGCTATTTCACGTACAAAGACCTACAATAAAATCCAGGTGAATTTGGAAAAATATTCATGTATTTTCTTGACGAAGAGTAGCTATTTCAATTTGTAAATGCCCAGTCATCTTAGACAAATAATAATTCCAACTTCAAATCAGTTGTATTTATTCAAATCATACCATGAAGAATTGTATTTTTCCACTTGCATAATAATAAAAACTTGACTTTTATTATTTTATTTCTTCAGGCCAAGAGCATGGACAATTGGTATTTGCCTTGTATCACTGCTAACTATAAATCACAGGGAGCCTTGGTCAGAAATGATAATATGGTTCTCAGATATGTTACTGTGTACAGACTGAACAGAAAATATTTATACACTTGCTATTACAGTACTGGCCAAATTAATAGCAATTTTTTCTAAAAACGTTGCAGAAGTAACTCACTAAAATTGAAGTATGAATAAAATCATACACCGTGAATATATTGAACTGAATATTCTTACACATAACCATAGGCGTACGGGGAAATTTTTGACTGGGGGGCGGTGGTGGTTGGTGCCCCAAAAATGTAGTTAGGTTCTTAATATGTTACATAATAATAATAAATTCGCTGTTAAATTGGAAACATTCAAGAACACAATATTTTTTTATACAACTTTTACAAAGTACAATTGTGTGCCCAAATTTTCCCAGCCCCCCCCCCCCCAGCTCGTACGCCTATGCACATAACCATATTGACATCTACTTCACATTGCATGGTTGGTCGACGCAACGCCGTGTATAGATAAAGTTGCGACAACTGTGAAGCCAGGAATTTCATATGACGTCATGCAAACTTATTATCTATTTATATGACCTATTATATTGTTGGATGTCATAAATATCAACGAATAAGTGTATATAGGACATAAAACGTACATTTTTTAAACGAAAAATATAGCTGAACATACTATTATTAGTATTATATAACAAGAAGCGCACATTATTGTTATATAGCCTTATTCTATAAGAAAAATCAAAATAAAAGATACACTAGATAAAAGTACTATTAAACCAGGGGCGGATCTAGGAATTTTGAAAAGGGGGGGGGGCGCTGCAAAATGAAGGCATTGACCGCGGAGACGGGGCTTGCCGCTGAGGGGGGGGGGGGGGGTCCCAAAGAAAAATTATCCGTCATTTCCTTGCATCTGTAGCCATTCCAAGAGCTATTTCCCAGACTGGTGTGTTTGAGTCGATGGTTCGAGTCATTTAGGATCCCTACAACGGGTTGGGAACGGACATATTTGAGTCTGAGAAAAGGCACTTTCAGCCGTAAAAAAAGGCACTGTTGAAAATTAGGGGGGGGGGGGCGCCCCTCGCGCCCCACATTGAATCCGCCTCTGATTAAACATATTTAACTTGCATTCGCTTTTAAAGGAGCTAAATCGCTAATATTAGCAATTTTTTCTAAAAACGTTGCAGAAGTAACTCACTTAAATTGAAGTATGAATAAAATCATACACCGTGAATATATTGAACTGAATATTCTTACACATAACCATAGGCGTACGGGGAAATTTTTGACTGGGGGGCGGTGGTGGTTGGTGCCCCAAAAATGTAGTTAGGT